CACACAGAGAGAGAGAGAGAGAGAGAGAGAGAGCATTTGTGTCTCTCTCTTTGTATCTCTGTGTGTGCCTCTCTGTGTGCATGCTTGTGTAAATCTGTGTGTTTTTGTGTGTATGTATGTATGTATCTGAGTGTATGAATATGGGTGAACACACACATTCATATACACAAAAACACACACACACACACACACACACAGTGTAATCTCTAAGGAATGTTCACGCCCTGCTCTTTAGATCAACAGGACTCTAATTAAACTGTCAGTGTTTGATATCAGAACTGAAGAAGAGTTTGATTCAGTTCTGAAGGAGATCCGACTGCAGAACACCAGTAGCACATTCAGTATATATGTTTAATCATTTAAAAACCTTTCTTTATAAATATGTCTGTATATATTTGTGCTTAAATTAACATTTTAATTATTATTATTTGAACTACTGTTAATTTTTTTAATTTAATAGAAATGTAGACATTTAGAGCTTTTATTTTGTTTAAAATAATATTTTTTAACACATTACTAATATTTTAATTTCAGAAAGTTCAACTTTTTCGTGGAATAATTCAGATTTTTGATCAAAACAAAAGAAATCATTTGTAGTTTTGACCTGCTGAATTGTAGATTTTCTGTTTTTTTCTGTTGTGAGTATTAATAAATAATTATGTTGTATATATTATTAATATTAATTATGTTGTGTGCATTATTTATAATTAATTATGTTGTGTTTATTATTAATAATTAATTATTTTGTGTGTATTATTAATGATTAATTATTTTGTGTTCATTATTTATAATTAATTAGGTTGTGTGCATTATTAATAATTAATTATTTTGTGTGTATTATTATTGATTAATTATGTTGTGTTCATTATTAATAATTATGTTGTGTGTATTAAAAATAATGAATTATGTTGTATTAATAATGAAGAATTATTACTGATGTTTGCTGTAGAATACAGAGGATCAGTGATGTGGACGGACTCACCAAACTCGATGTTCTGGACTTACATAATAATCAGGTGCACATTTTATAAATACAATAATCCATCAGTTATATTATTACTAATATTATTATTATTATTTTTTTTATTTTTTAATTATTATTGTTGTTCTTTTTGTTGTTGTTATTGCTGTTATCCTTATAATAATAATAATAATAATAATTATTATTATTATTATTATTATTATTATTACT